TTTCCCCGAGCTTCAGACTCTGAGGTTATGTGGATGCGAACAATGGCGATGGCCAAGCACCTGAAGGAAATAGCAGGAGAAGTCGGAAGTGGCGGTAGTGACTATCAGCATGATTGTGGCACGGAAGCTGAGCTAAGGCAAATTATGAGATGGTTGTATATGAGTAGTCGGCCTGCTTTGTGGGCGAGTAGCCTGCTAAGCCTCACCAACTGGCCTTTGCCGTGTACAGTAATGCTCTGACGCGCCTACTGTATTATTCACGTCTCTTATGTGCCGGTTGTTCCGTGGAGTTCTTGAGAAGATTTCTTGGTTCTACCAAGAAACCAGATCCACGGCTCCATATCGTACGAGTGGAGCGATGACGGAGCCGACGGGGTTAGGAGGGCATCAAACCTGTCGCTGAGGCTCGGGGGCGAGACGGTGTTGAGACGCGCCGTCCAAGTCCGAACCATGCGACAGACGGTGGTGGGGCGGTCGCCTTGGAGCAGAAGCGAAGCAGGCCCAGGGGCTACTGGCGCTTGCTTTGTGCTTGCCGTCATTTGGCAAGGCATGGCAAGACAAGTGCGGGGTTCGCGTCCTGTTTGCTGGTCGCTGGAGAGGGTTGCTATCACGCAGGCGACAAATTCACATGGATGAGTTATATGCTCTGCGTTCCTGCATGCAAAAAGTACCGTTGGAGAGGTGCGGCAAGTGACGTACGGAGCTTGGCGGACCCTGAGATTCGTCGACCAGGCAAGCGGATTTATTCCGACGCATCTTACTCGAACCGTGAAAGGCGCGCTAGGACGACCCGATTTCTTCCACTGTCCACAACACCAGCCTTTGTTATAATCACACTACTTCTCACCCCCCGCGAACTACGGCTGCCGTTCCTTCGCTACCGCCCCGACTTGTCACTACACAAATATCCGAACACTGCCCACACCACCTCGCCCACAGTACACACCCCTGCCTTTGAACCACAATGAACCTCGCCGCCTCTTCGCATCACCGCAAGACGCTCCCAACATGTGTCCTGTAACCAGCCGGTAACAGCGAGGTATGTTCCTGCTCTTCCATTCGCGCTGCACCTTTTGTCACCCTCGCCCCGTGAACAGCCCCGAGAATTCCAAAGCGTGCCCTTCCATTCGCCGCTGCGCACACGACCACTCCATCCGTGGTTCACAGCGCGATTGCCTACCGAGCACCCCTCAAAAGCGAGCCTCAAAAGCGAGCCAGTTACCGCGCATGATCAAATCTAACAGTGAAAAAGGCTGCCCGCGTCGGCTTCTGCCCCCGTGTCTCCTGTCTTCGAACGACTTCACATCCAGGACACTCGCACCTACTACCGAGCATATCCAGCTACTGCGACCGACACTGTGAAAGTTTGACCAAAACCTGTTCAGGCACAACACAGGCAGGGCTTGAGCATATACCTTTAATACCCTTGATACTATTCTCACACACTCCGACTCGAAGCTCTGCAGCGCTTCCAACATGTCTGTACCAAATCGAGACTCCGCGACGTCTACCAGCCACGACCAAAACGCTCAGGAAAGCGTATTATTCGAAAGGATCAGGGAATTTGTCGCCTCTCTTGGGCTCACTGCGAGTGATGGGCTTATCCAACATGCTGGCGAGACCAAGCACGAGGACTTGAAGGTTATCGTGGATCCTCAAAACCACGAGTGCTCTGTGACCTGCACAGCAGAGTCTCATGGTACTCTCACACCCGCCGTTTCCATTCGTTCGGTACCCGATCGGCTGCAGTCTCTAATTCCTCCCTCCAACTACGGTGCCGTTCTTCCAGGTTGCATATACCGCAGCAGCTACCCCGAGGAGAAAAACTACGGATTCCTCAAAGATGTTGGAATCAAAACAATTCTGACTCTGGTCCCAGAGCCACTCTCATCAGAGTATCAGGGCTTCATGAAGGAGGCTGGTATACAGCACTTCCACGCCCATATCAAGGCCAACAAGGGCGAAGTTCGCGTTGAATCGTGCGAAATGTCACGAGCTCTGCGCCTGATCATGGATCGCACCAACCATCCGATCCTCGTCCACTGTAACAAGGGCAAGCACCGCACAGGATGCACCATTGCCTGCTTTCGAAGGATTCTTGGAGTTGACCCAGAGACTGTTCGCGAAGAGTACCACACCTACGCTGGTGTCAAGGCTCGCTTCCTTGATGAAGTCTTCTTCGAAAATTTTGACCTTAACTTGGTCATGTGGATAGCCCGCCAGGAGGGCTGGGTTGCGCCTGCAATCGATGTTGCACCACCCACACCACCAGCTTCGGTCACATCAAGCGCTAGCGCAAAAGCTGTCGCTCTCGCTTGATACTTTCCTTGGTCACATTGCATTCTCAGGCGTTCCAAAAAGGTCTTTGGGTATGTCGGATCACATTGGCAAATGTTGAGGTTTTGGCGCGGCGTTCTAGGCTCGGAAGGCATACTTGGACCAGTAGGCATTGGGTACAGGATCGTGGCGTTTGAATTAACATGCTGTTGATTGGAGGACCAGAAAATTGTCTATATCTTCAAGCGGGATCTGTTTCTTTGGTCTGCATCCGGATGGTCTTTTCGTTGGTTTTTGTTTTGGCACTAAATGTGTCCGTGTTGATCCCGGAAGAGGCGAGAAACCGTCAGAGGCAAAAGAATGGCTATTTCTTATGTTCCATATGAAGTAATACATCTTAGCTGTGAAGCCTCGAAGCGAAAGCTCCAGTCGACTCGTCTATCTAGGCTTTCCCTGAAACCTATCTCGCTACCACCAAATCTCTTATGCCCACTATATTTTCTTTTTCTTTCTCTCTCTGCCACATTTATCTCGGTACCGTTGAAAATGGTATGCCCATTGGTCTTTCTTTTGCTCGTAACGTCGTCAAGGGTGCTCGGGTCCCCACCTTAGCACCAATATGTTTCTTCTTCCCCACAAACCTTTTTTTTCTAAAATTCCCGAAACTACAGATCCTAAACTGACCCTGAAGATCATGGGATCCTAGACCTATGGACCTGACGATGACCTGTCAGGTACGAGGATCCGGTATCCTGGGATCAAGGGTACAACTACAGTTTGTGAATATGCGAGGCTAATGAGGTCATGGTGTGGACGCTAGGAGTGATGACGATGGCATTGTTCTAAGCAACTGAGAAGATGGGTACTGTGTCTTTGGTCTGTTATCTTGCAGAATAGGTCTGTGGCATAACTGTGACGTGAGAAAGAGGTTACGTGGGTGTCGTCAAATGCTACTAGTATCAGCTGATAGTGTCTCTGAAGATGTATCACAAGGAGTGTAGGCTTTCGGCTCGATGGTGTATACAAAAGAGCGATTATGTGAGATTAAATCATCCAATCGACTGCTGGACGTATGCTTGGACAGCTGCTATGTAGTATTGATTCACGATAGACCTCACACGCCATCCAAACACCAAACGACCACATCACCAGTCCTCCTCGAATCATCGTGGAAGTGGCTATTGAACCCCCTCCAACACTCCTGATACCTAGTCCCCTCAAGATACTCCTCCAGGGTTGCTTCGAGCTGCTCAAAGAAAACAAGGTTTTGCGGCCACTGACGCCGATACTTGCGCTTAAATTTTGGATCCTGGCGCGTCCAGTGCTGGCCGGATCTACTTCCACTCGCCTTAATCGTCTGTACATCTTCCATATTACCACGGAGCCAGGCCACCGGACCAGGCTTGATGTAGAATTCATCCGCCTCATCGAGATAGGTCGAGCGCTCGGAGAGGGGAATGTTGATGGGCGGTTCGCAGGTCAAAGCCCATGCGGAGATTTCAGGGTAGACGAGGTGGGAGCGCCATGGTGTGGAGTGGCAGGGCATGAGAAAGCCGACTGTCGTATTGGACACGGCAGGACTGTTGCTACCAGTACTGCTACGAGTATTCAACAGGCTGTTACGTGTTTCGTGTTTATGACGGAGGTAGGCGAGTACGTCAATGACCCCCCGCTGATGGACCTGAGATGCATAGCTAGCAAGTAGGACATTTGAAGCTAGAAGAAACAGAATAACTGCTTTGTGCGACAGTGCAGCATGGGGAGGGAGAAACCTGCTGAGTGGCCTGGCGGAGATGATGTGGAGGAAGGGTAAGATCGGGTAAAGAAAACGAACTTCTTTGTGCGATATCAAACTCAATGTCACAGTCATGGCAGTCACCGTCCATGATAGACGGGCAAGTATCCGACCGCCTGTAGCATCTTGACTTGAAGCTGTTGTGTTATCCGGTCTGTCACTTTTGGCTGAGCCAAATGGCTCTGGCTCTGGCTCTGGGCCCTGCAGCGACTGCCATAAGCCGATCACGGCAAAAGGCAACGACGTCGTGAGGAGTAACGGCAAACCCTCGGTGAAATAGTAGTCGCCGCGGTTCCTCCCGTAGAAGACGGCTAACGACTGGGCGATGTTGAAATAGAGAAATCTAAGCGGCGGAAGAGTCCAGACCCTGTAATAGAGCCGATCGGTCGCGACTGAGCATACCAGTACGGCGGAGCTAGCGTCGTCAGTTGGAAAGGTCTGGTGACCTCCGGGGATGCAGAAAAGATAGACCCGACAATGGATCTTTGCACTATGGGAACGAGAAACGTGCAGCGGATGCAAGGAGAGCAAGAGCTTACCCGCAAATCAGGATTTCACGGGCCAACACATAGCGCAGCCGCTGTGAGGCTTGCCATAGGGTTGGGATAGATATGGATAACCAGATGAGAGCATTGGTTGGCCGGAGAATACACGCAAGCGCTGCCAGAAGTAGTGACAGGCGCAACCTGCAGGAGCATGAGCCTAAAGTGGTGGCGGAGCAGGCAAAGGGTGTTTTGGTTTCATGACTTACTCTGAGAGAGAGCCGAGGTTCTGGTGTGCAATATGCGTTTTACAATCACCCCGCCAAGGCCAATAATAGATAGCAACCGAAGTGATGGTAGTCTCAAGACAATTAGATAGTGTCCGTGTCGCGCAGAACCATTGCCATGGGCTGCAAACAGACAATGCAAGCTAGAAGTAGGGAGGATCAAATATCAGAGAATGCTGCATCATGATTACGGGTGTCGCGTACAGTAGTGAGAGCAGTGCGACTGCCACGACCGTAAACCTTTTCCGCAAGTTTCCAAGTGTAGCAATCAAGCAAGGCTGCAAAGACGGCTTGGGTAACTTTCGGGGCAGCTAGGAGTAGTTCGGCTTTAGCAGGCAAGCGCAAGCCGCAGAGGTCAGCAACATGTGCCGCGACTCGATAGACGGCTGCGAATAGCGCTGGATGCAGGGACGACCTCAATTGGGATCTCCACTCCTGCCCACGGTGAGCTAACTGGTGATGATGGAGCACTTGAAGGCAAAATTACCCAGGTGATCCAGGCATGGGTGGCGGGGCCAAAAGCCAGCTGCCATGCAGGCTCGAGCGACTGGAAGAACTCGTCGGGCTGGAAGAAGGTGCGCAGGGTTAGTGCGTTCACGATGCGGAAAGCAAGCAGCAATGCGAAGATGCCTAGCGTCGAGTCACGATAGCTGTTGGACTGCGCTCGTGGTGGAGCACCAGTCCCGCTCGGATTCGTGTCCCTCGCAGCGTTGGTGCGGGTCGGCATTGGATAGTAGGGAAGAAGCAACGAGCACAAGCGGAAGGCCGGGGCAATGGTTGGCGAGCAGAGTGAGATGAGATTCGCAGCAGAGGTGAGGATGCGAAGCCGGTGGTCTAGCTCCTTGGCGCGATGCACAAGCAGTCACGGTTTGTCATGCATCCGTGCTCAAGCGTGTCAAGGTGCAGAAAATTGATGCTGCGTGCCTTACCGTATTAGGACTTTCACGATGATTGCTGAGGAGACGGGCTGCGCCTAGACTCGGCTTCATCTGTGCTGGCCCTTTGCAGCATGCGCCGCCGTGCGACTGTGCACATACGGGGCCGCGAATCTCACGATAGTTGATTATTGATAATTTGCCCGTGTCTGCAGGCGGTCTGGAGCGGGTGTCGTGGCATCAGAGGGGGGGAGTTTGCAAAGGAAAAAGTACCTAGGTATACTAGAGGTACTCGCTGTGGTCAACAGCAGCCGCTTGCAGAATGCGACCTAGTGCATACGGCCTTGAAGGGTTGGATACTGGACACAATTCAGAGAGGGTAAGATGGAGGCGATTGTTGCAGTCGTCGTCGCACGATGGCTGTGGCAGTGTATGTGTGGGTGTGTGCGTGTGCCGGCCCAACAACAACGGGCAGTGACGCAGAGATAGCGTGAGATTTGACGTAGCATGTTGAGTATGCACGGGAACGAAGAAGCAAAAAAGGTCGAGTACCCGAGCATCAACGAGGGTAAATCTGGGGAAAGGCTTGTGTGCTAGAGAGGGTCCGTTAAGAGACGACGTGCTATGATGGTTTGGCCAGGGTGCTTATCGCGCTTCATCATGTAATGCGTATGCCGACCGAAGCGGAGGCGGCAGAGGCAGCCCCTGCGCGGCCACAGCTGGGATACAGGCACATGGTGCTGAGCAGAGGGAGTTTGGTTGAACAAACGAACCACACCCCTCACGCAGTCGAACGCCACCTGTTGTTGAGGGCAAGGGCTCGAGCTCGCCAGGAGGCACTAATGTATGCAGCCATACCCGTTCTTGTCACCTGCATATCTTAGTCGGTTGCCGTCCAGAGGCAGCTGTCCCAAGACAAAAAGATGGCCATATCGCAGCTGGCCTGCTCAACAAGAAATCGGTCCACCGGGCGCATTGTGGCCTCTGGTCGCCGTCGCCGTCTCGTCTGTGAGCGCGCCGTGGGTACGTTTGACGGCCTCCACCTGCGTCTTCGCCTATGCTCTGCGCGATAGAATAGCGTCCCCACCTTTTGCTGCCAGCCCCGGCGTGTCTCTCCCGCTTCAGAGCGTCATCTAATGGGCCCCGAAATACTCACGACTATCATCGCCGCTTAGGGAAAAGCGCAAGTGAGCCGATCGTGTCTCTCAACCAAATCCATATCGAGCCGTTGAGCCCACCCCCCGGCCCACTGCTACCATCACAACCTGCCCTGCCACGCCCATCGCCGCCGACCGTGAACCTCAGCCCAGTCCACGCGGCCGCCATTGTCCTCGCTGTGACACCGCCGCCGCCGTCTAGCCCGCCGCGATATGAGACTATCCGCCCACGCACTGCGCCTCGACAAACCGTAGAAGGGCTGGCATGTTTGCACGCCGCTGCTGAGCTGACACGTCCTGAGCTGTGTGGTTGCCATGGTCGACCCCAATGCAGACGTGACAGCCGAAGGGGACCGGCGCGACGAGCAGGCGCAATCGTCGCCAGCGTCACCTGCCTGCCACCGGGCCCCAGACGCCGCAGCACCAGAGGCAGCTGCAGACCAAAGAGAAGAGCACCAAGTGCACCATGGCGAGGAGCCCAAGCCGATTCGAGGCCTTGCAGACGGCGCGGCCACGCTCCCCGTCGACGACGAGAACGACTGCACGCCCCGCTCCGAGGTGCCTTCGATGCCAGACGCCCTCAACGCCAGTCTCTTGTCGCAGATTCACACCCTCGACCCGGAGCCCTCCTACTTCTCTCCACAACCCCTTCGAGTCTACTCGTCGCCCCTTCCCCGCGACTCGCCCGCCTCGACCAACCCCTCGCCCAGCACCAGCGCACATGCCTCACAGGCCTCCCTCACCACCGTCAACGAGGCCCCTCACTCGTCGACTCCGCACCCCGACCGCCCTGCCTTTATGCGAGACCTCTCGAGTGCATCCACGGCCAGCAACGCGACTGTACGAGCCAACTCGGTAGACCCCATCCACCCCTACGCCTACCCTCACGCCCTCCCTCCACGCCAGCGCGATGGGCCAGTCTACCCCAACCAGTCCTATGCCGCTCTTCACCTGCAGCAGTACCCCCAGCCCTATGTCCCGCCCATCATCCGCTCCCGCAGCTCCCACCCCTCGCACTCGGCCGCAAACTCGCTGTCCAGCCTGGCCGCCTTCGGTCTCTCCCACGAGCACTACAGAGACATCATGGAGTCGGCTCCACGCACTGTTGGCAATTCTCCCGTGAGTAGCCCCGGCCTCTTCAACCCTACCAACCGCCGCCCCTCCCAGGAGCCCGATCAGCCCGACGATGGCACCTATTCCACGCCCTGGCTCCACCATACCCACAGACAAGCGCCCAAGGAGACCCACATTGCCGATGTCCAGGCCGACCCCGTTTCCGGACGCAAGATTGTGAACCAGTACGAGATTATCGACGAGCTCGGCCGGGGCGTCCACGGTAAGGTCAAGCTGGGCAAGGACCTGGTCCACGGCCGATACGTCGCCATCAAGATTGTCGACCGCTACTCCAAGCGTCGACGCCTCGGCAAGAACAACAGCCACGAAGACAAGATCAAGCGCGAGATAGCCATTCTCAAAAAGGCTCGTCACCCCAATATTGTCAGCTTGCTCGAGGTCATTGACGACCCAGCTAAGAAGAAGGTCTACATCGTACTTGAGCACGTTGAGCTGGGCGAGGTCAAGTGGAGGACCGAGGGCGCTAGGGAGATCTGTCTTGTCGAATGGCGTCGCTTCAAGCGTGAGTCCGAAGGCATCTTCGACAACGACAGTGCAACACTAGAAGATGAACGCATCATCCGTATCGCCCACCAGAAGCTTGCTCGGCAGCAACGTCGCATGGCTAGGGAGGCACACCTTCGTCGGAAGGACGGCTCCTCTAACCAGCCATGGAGCCTGGAATTTGCAACCGACTCGGAAGACGAGTATTCTGAGAACGGGCGTAGCTCGGTAGCATCTTGCCGTGAAGACGATCGTCCACTCAATCGTGTCCATTTCCGCGAGCGACCAGACCCTGTGAGCCACCACGATGACCACATGGAGACCGCTTTCCGATCGCCTGAGCCTGTGAACAACTCCTGGGCTGATGGGCTTGAGGGAACCATGTACGGGCCATACGACACGGAGCTTAGCAGAGGTCGCGTACCAAGCGTTGCTGGCAGCTCCTCGTCTCGTGTGACTGACCCCGGTGAAGAAATCCCTGAACACTTCAACTACGTCCCCTTGATGACCATACACGCTGCCTGGGAAGCCTTCAAAGATACTGTGCTAGGCATAGAATACCTGCACTATCAGAACGTCATTCATCGTGACATTAAGCCCGCCAACCTTCTTGTTACCAGGGAGCATCGTATCAAGATATCCGATTTTGGTGTATCCTATCTGGGACGGCAAAAGACAGATGAAAGTAACGGCGAGCATTCCGAGTCTGACTACCAAGAAGTTGACGAAGCCATTGAACTAGCGAAGACGGTAGGCACTCCAGCCTTCTACGCCCCTGAGTTATGTCGTACAGAGATCGACGCCGAGACCCCCCTCATTGATGGCGGAATCGACATCTGGGCCCTCGGCGTCACGCTATACTGCCTTATCTATGGTCGCGTGCCTTTTCACGACACCAACACCTTCACTTTGATGAAAGTCATTAGCGAAGATGAACCCTATATCCCCAGGTACCGGTTGAAGCCTGTTGCTGAGCAATCAAACTCGCGGCCCAACTCACACGGACGTAACAGTCAGCCGATGATGAGTAGCAAGCGGGCACCGCATGACCTCGAGTACGAAGAAGTCGACGAAAACCTACGCGATCTACTCCGACGACTGCTGATCAAGGATGCAAGACGACGCATAACTATACCAGAGATCAAGCGCCACCCATGGCTACTGTCTGGTATTCCTAACCACGTCTCGTGGGCTGAAGAGACGGACCCCAGCAAGTCTTACGATGGAAGAAGGATTCAGATTTCCAAGGAAGATGTTGAAGAGGCTGTCGTCCCAATTGGCTTCGTTGACCGCCTCCGCTCCGCTGCTAAGAAGACATCTGAGTTTGTCAAAGGTTTCACAACCCGCAGTTCAGGTTCAAGACGGCGCGCACAGAGCTCAGCCACCAACCAGGACGCTCCTCCAAGCATCAGCGCGAACTCTTCGAGCAGTACTATCAGTCAAGATGCTCGCCCGTACGAAGGTCGACGTGGCAGCCTAGCACCTGGCGCTATCTTAGAGATTTTGACTCGCTCGCGTGAAGCAGAGCACCCGCTCTCTCATAGTGTTACAGCAAGTCCGGAAGCAAGAGAACGGTCAAAATACTTCGATAGCCCCAACTCCCGTACTGCATCGCCCGCGCAGATCCTCGAAGGCCTGCAGCGACCTCAGATGCAAGACCGCGCCCTGTCTTCGATAAGCACTATCCGCCAAGCAGACCTGCACCACCCAGGTCGATCGGCGTCCCCTGGTTTCCCTCCAGCTCTGCCAGGTACTCCCACAGCCCTAGACACACCTGGTGGCTCACAGTTAGGTGGTCTCTTCGGAGGGTTGCCTCGGCGTGTCGTCAACAGCATGAGGAGCAAAGACAAATTGAAGCCCCCAAAAGAGCATAGCCGCGCGAGGTCAATCGACAGGCTTGTTGGCGCAGACGACGATGCTCATGGCGTCCCAAGCCTGGCAATCAGCACCACATGTGCTTCTGGTCAGGTCAATCAACCGGACGCCCTAAAAGACCTATCGCCCATTGCTCGAAGCTCATCGCCTAGTCATTCGGACGCTCCATCTTTTGGACGTCTTGATCCCTCGTCGCGGCAATC